CCATTTTTTTACCAATAGCAAATCCGTTTGGATAATCATAGTTATACTCCAGGCACTGTCCAGGTAAAGTCATTTCCAGTTTGCAGGTGACATCATCCCCACTGCAGATTTTAGGGACCTATAGGATTATGATTATTTAAAAAAATTAAAAGAAAAAAAATAAAAGATATAATTTAAGTCATGTGGCCATAGTATATGTACATGCATATATACTTGTGTGTAAGATCTCACCATATCTTTAAGAACAGTTGAAAACTCCCCAGTGAAGGACTTTAGCAAGTCAAGATCATCACAGTGGGATGCTTTAAACAACATCTCAAAGGGCTTAAAGCCATTGTTTGCAATTCTGTTCACTGTAAATGGGAGATACATAGGAGACACATACTAAAAGACAATAATAAGATACATAGAAGACAATAATAAAAATGAGGAGATTTTTCTGTGCAGTGTGTAAGACAGTATTTGTATGAGTATGACAGTAGAGCAAAAATGAAAGACAAATGTTGAGTAAGAGTGAAGCAATACTCACGGGAGCAATCAGGTCTGTCTGGTGAGCGGGGCGGCTCCCAGATTCCACTATTGGCGCAAAAGTAGCTGTGCATGGCATCCTGGGTGAGACTGTAACCCTGTCTGCATATCAGAGAGCAGTTTGTTCCCTCCTCTGTCTTGGCACATGAGAAATCCCCATTCACTGGCACAAATGGCTTCTCACAGGTTGAACCTGAGGTTAGAAACAGCACCATAGAATTAACTTTATTTAGGAACAGCATAATCTGGAAACATTCACAGCATTTAGCTTAACTGGCTAGACAGATTCAAGTTACTTATAGCAGAGTACACTTTATTTAATACAACTAAAATAATAGACTCTAGCATGCTTTGCGGAATGATATTTCTTAGTCAACAATAAGACATCCACGCTGGCATACAGTACCTTGTACAGTAATGATGAGTTCACAGGTACGGTTGTTTCCAGAAGGGTCTGTGGCTGTGTAGTACACTGAAGTTTCTCCAACAGGAAATACATCTCCAGATGAGTGAGTACTAGAGATATTCAAATAGGCTCCTGAGAAAGAAAAATAAAAAATAAATGTCTTTATACAGGCTAGGAAACAGCAAACTATTACATAGACTACCATTCAAAAGTTTGGGGCCAGTAACATTTTATATTTAAAAAAAATAATAATTATACTTTATCACGGATGCATTAAATTGATCAACAGCAATGTTGTTAATAATAAGACATTTCTCTTACGCACCAGATCAGCATATTAGAATGATTTCTGAAGGATCATGTGACACTAAACTAGTGAAATGGCTGGTAAAAATTCCGCTTTGCCATTACAGGAATTTAAAATTGTAAAATATATTAAATAAGAATCTTTTTTTAAATTGTAATTAAATTTCACAGTATAACTATTACTGTATTTTGATTAAATAAATGCAGCCTTGGTGATCAAGAGACTTCTTTCAAAAACATTAAAACATCATACTGACCCCAAACTTTGGTACAGTAGTGTACGCTACATGTAATGTTATATAAAAGTATGAGACACATCTAATTTGTAAAAAAACAAAAAACAAACATCTGTATTAATCTCTCTTTTTACAGCTACAACAGCTTACATGGTTCTGGGAAGGCTTTCTACTAAATGCTGGAACATGGCTGCAGGAATTGTTCCCATTCAGACACAAGCGTGTCCAATTCATCCCAAAGGTGTTCAGTTGAGGCCAGGTCTGGGCTTTGTGCAGGCCAGGGAATTCTTACACACTAGGCTCAGTTATCAGTTTCTCTGCGGACTTTGCTTTGTGCACTGGGGTATCATCATGCTCGAGCAAAAAAGTACCTTCCCCAACAACAAATTTAGAGAACAAACCTAGAACATCACTGTGTGGTGTAGCATTAAGATTTATCTTCACTGGAGTTACTAGAATACCTAAACCCATTAATTAGACAGGAGGGTACGCATACTATTACCATGTAGTGTATATACGCCTGCATCTGTTTGCAATATCGCAGACAGATCGCTTCAGTTGTGCAATCTGGCATTAGCCAATGATGTAACGGGTACGTTCACAGACATTACCACAGGGAGCAATGAGGAGCTCCACAAGGACTTGCTCTGGTCAACCACAAAGTCCTACAAAGGGTGCTATGCTACTGTACTACTCCTCACGGGGCCTGGGAATAACAGGCATTGGTGCCAGAGGAAAGTAATTGCTAGATTGTTTAATGACACAGAACTAATTGTGATACACTGTGGTCAGACAATAGAGTCTTTTAAGGATCATATACACTTCACACACTAAAAGACACACACACTTATTTGCATGCACATATCAGTACCCACAACTGCAATGAAACCCTCATACATATATCCACTAAAATGCGTTTTTTTTACCACACTGTCGACATCACACCACACTGCCCACACCCTGACACAGGCTTATTTTTAGTAAAGACATAACTCCCTCCAAAACCCGGCAGACCCAGACATTTGTCAGACAGTTTGGAATAGCCCTGGAACTTCTCTCTGGAAAAGTGTGTCTGTGTATTCACGTCTGAACTGGTTAAGAACAAAATGAATTATCTTGCGAAATCTGCAGTGCATGTGCATTTGCACAAATGCATTTGTGTGTACAAATCATTTATCTTGTTTTATCCCAACACAACCACTGTGGTTAACTCCATACTCCATAATCACTGTGCCATAAACTTAATTTCTTTCTTTGTTCACTGTATTTGCAGTTATAGTATAAAACTAAAGTCATTTCACCTGTCCAAGACGAAAATCCAGATTCCAATCCTTATCGCTGCTTAAGGAGCCAAATCAATAAATCTTTTTTGTAGAAAAACATTTCCTTCACAGTGTTCTTAAAATGTTCATAAATCAAACCATTTCCATTCCCTGCAGCTACTAAAAGTTCATTCAACCACATTCAACCTCCACAGGTGTCCTGAGTTGAAGCCTCTCTGTGATGGTTCTACCAAATGTCAATTCCTGAAGAATCATTTTCTCACGCACCAGATACAAGGTCATTCAAGTAAGGCCTACAATTTCCTGGACCTGTTTAATATATTATCTGAACATAAAATAAAGTATAAACATGATAAACATGGCCTAACAATTGACATTGTTCCTCTTTTTGCTGTCTATATTTTTTAAAACAGCTAAAGATCATGTTAAATTGCAGCAGCAGACTCCCTGTGGGAAGATTAGGTCTTTTTGTGTATAAATAGCATTTTTTGTGTATATGAATAAACAGATACGCTAATAGTACAATGCCTAGTAATTTGTCGAGTTACAGATGGCAGTCAATAAGCCAATAGCAACATTATAAAATAGCTTTTATGTCAAAACAGGAGAGGCACAGGGCAGTGTCTCAGTGGACCCTGCAGTGTCTCACAAATACCACCACAAACTTCTAATGGATCAGAAGTAATGATTTCTTTTTTAATTCTGCTTAGTGCACCTTTAAACACTTTTTTACACCCTTAAACACTCTTATAAAATAAACTTGTATTTACCAGAATTGTCTGAAAACTGAGGTTCTTCCCAGTATATTGCAGTTTTTTTCCCAGTGGCCTTAATGGTGGGTGGAGACCTGCATCTGTCGATCAAAGGGGGTTCCGTATCTAAGGAAACAGAGTACAGAACAAAGTAATATTGCAAAAGGTTGAACATGGCATAATATATTAATTTTTTCAAAACAACATTACATTTAAATATGACCAGAGCTGGGCAGATTACTTGTAATTTGGAATCAGTAATGGACTACAATTTGTATGACATAAATTGTAGTTAGTAACGTAATCCATTACATTACACATTTTAGGTAATATAATCGGACTACTTTTAGATTACTTTTGACCTAACTCATTTATCACATTGATTTGATAATCTTGTACAATACTGATATAAAAATACAAAGAGTAAGAAAATATATTCCATTCATTGTTATTAACGACATGAAGTGCATTAAACATTACATTCTGTCATGGTTTCCCAAACTGGGGTTCGTAAAGGAAATGCAGGGGTTTTTTTTGTTTAATGGCAAGCTAATAATTTAAGCATAAAAATGTAAAATTAAAATTACTCATTTTAAAATGACATCAATCAAAATAAAACACTAAAAAATATTAAATATTTTATTTGTTTACCTGCGTGTCATGTGACCATTAACCAACATCAGAGAATCGTGAACATGCAATATTGAAATGAAAATGTGATACCTAATTATTAAAATATTTATTTTAAAATCTCAGGGGTACTTCAAGTAAATATATTAAGTGAAAGAGGGTCAGATGACAAAAAAAAATTGGGAATCCCTGCATTACATGTAAAGAAGAAATAACATGAATTTGTGCATTTCAACGTGTTTGAAAGACAAAAGCCTCCCAAATGACATAGTAATACATGTTTAAATAACCCACTGAGTGATAATTCAAATAAAAATGTATGTGTTCATCAGTAGTTGATATAATGTTAAAACACTTCTTAAACCTGATATTATTTTTGTAAATCAGTGGTCAAATTCTGTGTGGCCACCTGACAATTGACTGTTCTTTGTTTGTGTGAATGTCCACAACACTGGAAGACTTTCTGAATGTATATAAGCGGTAGGCTATTTTAGAAAGTAACATTTAAAATATGAAAAAGAGGAATTAGGGAAACAATAGATTATGAATAATTTATTGCCATTGTGTGAATAATATGAAATAATGTACGTAATACGTAATCATGTAATAAATATAAGAGTAACTGTAGTCTAACTCTGAGTATTTTAAAATGTAATTTACTCAAGTACTTAATTTCTGGAATCTGATTACGTTGTAACAGTTTCCCTGTTACTTATGTACCAGAAATCCTCTTTGAGCACTATTGTCCCTACTCACCTGAGCATTAGGGGGCACTCTGGTAAAGTAATGCATGAATTTACCTATTTAAGGTAGCAAAGAAGGAGTAATGGCAGGAAGTTAATTCTCTATCTTCTTTGGAGAAGCTTACCTCATGGTGGTTTGAGACTTTGTACCCTGTTTGAAGAACTTTATAGTTCTAAGCTCATCCGTAAGTAGTTGTTTATGGTATTTTGTTTTGTTAACAATAAGTGTTTGTAGCACATGGTTATGGTTTGTTTAAATGTTTGTCTACAGAGGGTTTGTGTTCTGAGCCTATATGGATTATTTGGTGGCTTAAACATCTGAGAAGCCTGGAACTAGGAGAGCTGACTGCTTAAAAGCAACGCTGGACTTCAAATATCTCTTTGCTAGTTGATCTTTGCTGGGGAATCATCTGGGCATTCAAGTACTGTTTTTTTACACTTCATGTTTCAACAAAGCTTGTGCTCTCACTTTATACCCTCTACCACAAAGACTGGGGCTCTGTTTTGTCTTTTGTGCAAATGCTACACGAAATGAGGGACCAAACAGACCAATCCTACTCATGAGTCTGGTGTATTAAATATAATTACCAAGCACATAAAAATACACATGACACACCCATCTAAAGGTGTCTTGGCATTTAAAGCTCTGTAATCAATGCAGAAAGCATGGTACCATCCTTCTTGGGGACTAGAACTATGGGGGCTGCCCATGGAGAAGTTGAGGGTATAATTATCCCTTTTTCCAACATATTGGACACTTCCTGATCAATGAATTGCTGTCTGGCCACAGAAACAGGGTAGGCTCGTTTACGAACTGGAATCTCATCGATGGTGTTAATCTCGTGCCTGATCACAGCAGTTCGGCCCAGGGAGCCTGTGCAGACTGTTGGTCGATCAAGCATAAGTGCTTCGAGCTGCTCTTTCTGGGTTTTGGAAACATCTGCCTGACTGGCCAGTTCTTCAATGGTTGCCAAGGTGAAGGAAGATACTTGAACTAGAGGTAATGCCAGATGTAGACTAATTACCGCTGAAGATGCATACGGTATGAATGGATGTTTTACTTCCGCTTCCTCCGATAGAATGTAAGTCTTGTCCTTGAAATCAGTCTGGATCTCTGAATCCATCAAAAACTCCAGGCCAAGTACGATGGGTAAAGTCAAATCTTGATCTCTCATCACAAAGGCCATGAACGGATACTTCTGTCCATGGAGTGTACAATTCCAGATTACCTTTCCTAGGGCTGTCTGTACATGACCATTGGCAAGGGAGAAAGTCTGACCTCTGCTGGACTGCAACATTTCAGTGCTTGACTTCAATCTTTTCCAGTAAGACTCCTGAAGTAAAGAATAGATGCTACCAGTATCCAAAACTGCTTGACATCTATAGTTATTGATAATCTGAGGGTCCAAGGTTCAGGTCCCTATTCGGGACTTCAAATATCTCTTTGCTAGTTGATCTTTGCTGGGGAATCATCTGGGCATTCAAGTACTGTTTTTTTTTTTTTTTACACTTCATGTTTCAACAAAGATTGTGCTCTCACTTTATACCCTCTACCACAAAGACTGAGCAAAGTATATGGGTTTAAGTGACTACAAGCCAGGCACTTGGAATACTGGTGTGCTCTTATGCTCTGGTCCTAACTGTGGAACTCTCAATTGTGTGTGTCATATTGTATTTTTATGTGCTTGGTAATTATATTTAATACACCTGACTCATGAGTAGGATTGGTCTGTTTGGTCCCTCATTTCGTGTAGCATTTGTACAAGGGTATATGTGTGACAACATAATCCAGATTACACGTAATCAGTTACTACCCAGCTCTGAATACGACCATGTAAATTACTATCAGTTGTACATGGAATCCAACCTCACCAACTACAGTAACAGTGAAAGAGCAGTTGGCCTTGTTTCCTGTGCGGTCGGTTGCTGTGTATGTTATGAACTCAGTTCCTATAGGGAAAGGCTGCATGGGATTTAGAACAGGGGTCACCTGCACCACAACCTGAGGAAGAAAGGCAAAACCTAATTTTAAAACAAATACACAAAACCGGAGTATTTGATTCGGCGGCGGCGGCGGCGGGGGGGGGGGGGTAAAACTCACCTCATCTCCAGAACTGTCCCCAAGCATGGGTGCACTCAAACTGATGTTAGCCGAACTCTGATGTTCATCTGTCTCGCTGATGACATCACCAGGACACTGAATCCATGGAGACTCTATATCTACAGAGGAGAAAATCCGTTCAGGTATCGAAAGTCTCCATAACGTCAACCTCATTAACAATTACTGATGTAAACATGCCATAATGATGTCACTCATTACCTCTAGCTATCTCATCTTTAATCTTATGCTCTATGTAAAAGATCTTTTAATGTAAAAAGATTTCATCCCTTTTGGAGCTTGATGGCCCCTGGTTATTGTGTTCTTACTGTACACTGCAAAAAATTAAGCTACTAAATTACTGTTTTAAAAAGTCTAAATGCCATAAAGGGATAGAGTATGAACATATATATATATATATGAACTTATATATAAAATATATTTTACTGTAAAAAATATATAATATATAAAACAATTATACACATGGGTGAACTTCTTAATTTAAACAAATTTCAAATTTAATTTCAAAAGTTCTACAGATCAAACTTCAAAATTTTTGGATGTACAGCCACAGACGTGTTGAAGTTTTTGGCAAAAGGGAACGCCACAGCTCTTTTTTCTGCCTAGTCACAAAAAAAAAACTTCACGTTTCTACTGCATAGACGGCCAAGTTTTAATGAAAATCCATCCTGTCAGCAACAAATGTTTAAGGGTATGTAGATATTTTTACTTAGAAAATAAAGACAAAAATGCTGATTTCTTTTTTTGTTCAGTGTATAGAAAAGACCAGAGTGAACATTCTGCTAAACATCACCATTTGTGTTCCTTGGTACAGATAAAGTCAAGCAGGTTTAAAACATACAGGCTAATAAATCAATTTTGGGTGAAGTCTCCGTTTCTAGATTCATGTTGCGAAGTAGTTGGTGTTGCAGTAATATGACCTATATTTACAGAGGTGTATCACATGCAGCTCAGAGTATAACATGCTAATCACATAGTCTGTACTCTCCTTCCAAACCAAACAAATACTTCACTGGTACAGTAATATATACAGTGGTGTGAAAAAGTGTTAGCCCCCTTCCTGATTTCTTATTTTTTTGCATGTTTGTCACACTTTGTTTCAGATCATCAAACTAATTTAAATATTACACAAAGATAATGCAAGTAAATACAAAATGCAGTTTTTAAATGACGATTTCATTTATTAAGGGAAAAAAGCTTTCCAAACCTACGTGGCCCTACGTGAAAAATTAATTGCCCCCTCCTGTTATCATGAAAGAACTGCAATTAACCACTATTTTAGAAATCTGAGTTAAATTTCACTAGCCACACCCAGGCCTGATTACCACCAGACCTGTTGAATCAAGAAATCACTTAAATAGAACCTGTCTGACAAAGTGAAGCATGCTTAAATAGCAACACATTATGCCGTGATCTAAAGAAATTCAAGAACAGTGGCTCAAGAAAAACTCAATTAAGGTTTTGGAGTGGCCAAATCAAAGTCCGGACTTAAATCCGATTGAGATGCTTAAACAGTCCATTCATGCTCAAAAACCCTCCAATGTGGCTGAATTAAAACAATTCTGCAAAGAACAGTGGGCCAAAATTCCTCCACAGCGATGTGAAAGACTCATTGCCAGTTATCGCATATACTTGATTGCAGTTGTTGCTGCAACGCGTGGCACAACCAGTTATTAAATTTAGGGGGCAATTACTTTTTCACGTAGGGCCAGGCAGGTTTGGACAGCTTTTTTCCCTTAATAAAATAAATAATCATATAAAACTGCATTTTGTATTTACTTGCATTATCTTTGTGTAATATTAAAATTTGTTTGATGATCTGAATCTTTTAAGTGTGACAAATATGCAAAAAAAAAAGAAAACCAGGAAGGGGGCCAACACTTTTTCACACCACTGTATATTAGGTTCAAGAGTGAAAGCCAAAACTAATTGATCCTTTGTTTGGTTCCAGCTTGGAGGGGCAGTTTTGAGTTTTATGATCTTGGAATCCTGTAGTTTTACACAATAGTGCAACTTTGTTTGATGATCTTCCACTTATTCTGTTATGCATCATCTTAAATGTTTTGCAGCAACAAATGTAATGCACCTGGTTTACCTGTTGTAATCTGTCCCATTGCAACACATCATAGTACAGCAGAACAAAGAGGGATGTTTCAGCCACATGTGTAGCTGTATATGCACAGGGACACACAAAACATAATATTGTATGCCATTATAAACACAACCAGAAAACAAATCACCTGCACAGGTTGTTTTATGTAGACTTTCACTCCAGTTTCCAGAAGGCAGACATCTGACTTCAGAGTTACCGATGAGACGGTAACCACGGGGACAGGTTAACTGACACAATGCTCCGGTCCTGACCTCATTCTCCCCACAGGTAGGGGGTGACAGATGGATATGCTTCAAAGTAACAATTGGAGGACAGCGTATCTCTTAGAAAGAAAAGGAAAACAGTAAAACATAAACCACAAGCATTTTCCACAATGATTAATCAAAAGAATGAGAGAGAGAGAGCATGCTAAATTTCTCCAGAAAGGGAAATGTAAGAGCGGTTGTTGACCACACTGCTTGAAATTCTTGGAAACAACCTCAACGCACAAACAAATTATTTTCAGTGTGACATCTGGATCACCCTGTACTGCCAAAGTGAAAGAAAATGATGAGCATGGAGAGAAATAAAATGAAATAATTACAGTGAAGACAAGAAAACATGTCATACAACTAGCCAAAGATATTCCTGGAAAATCAGTCCAAACGATCCAACTACAAAGATTGAAGAAATCGAGAAGAGCAAAGCAAAGCTGACTGACAGTCAGTAGAGGGATGGACAGACCAAAAAAAACATAGTTACTCAAGATGGAAGTAGATAAAAGATATAAGAGTATTTTGACTGGCCATGCTCACAGATGCCTTTTGGAAGCCAAGCATAAGGTGTCTGTAGGTTTGTGGGTAAAAAGTGGCTGCCACAGCTGATGTGTGTGTGTGTGTGTTTGTGTGCGTGTGTTTATGTCTGATGAAGCAATGAGACAATAAAAAAGTTACAATTATGTATTTAGATACATCAGACTGATTGACTGTCTTGTGGAGATCAGAGACAGTTATAAAAACAAAGCTTACGCCTTCTTGTGGGATTGCATGGTCTCAATGCATAAGATGTTTTTTTTCCCGATCATTTCTACAGATTCTAAAACTACACAAAAATATATGTGACTACAGTTTGAATTTGGCAGGATGATTAGTCTTGCTGTGCACTGATTCTGCACAATTATCCATTAAACAGAGTTTTTATTTTCAGATATAATAATCACACTCAAATAAAAACTTTTGTATACAACTCAACTACACAAGGTAGTTTTCATAAAAACTTGTCTTGACAGATTTATTTAAACATATATAAAATAAACTGTAATTAAGCTCCCTCTAGAGTTTTAATAGCTAAACAATGAACTTTTTCTTTCTTTCGGGTTGAAACGCTGATTGAGCAATTACATGAGACATGATACATTTCAGTAAGCTGTACTTTTTCTTTTAACATACCTTCTGATGTTCACTTGTTTGTTTTGTGCTATAACTTGTATTAAAGTGGCGCTCTGCGCAGCCGGTTAAACTGAAGCTGCTACAGCGATCTGTTGTACCACGTTTAAGAGTGTCAAAACAGCATTTATTGTTTGAATTTTGAGATAAAATGTACAGGATTTGAAAGCTGAGGCTTTGTTTCAGAAGTAACAAAGCACAAAGCTCTGTGTGATAATTGGATTAGAGGCGAATTACAAATGTTTTGTGAAGGGAAAACTGTGGCCCTGGTAATCCTGTTTTGAACTACGGGTGGTCCATAGGGTCAAATAGAGCCCGCGTTAACTGTGTTGCGTTAATGCGTGTAGTCTGTAGTCAGCCTGTAGTCCCTTCATGAATCTGTTTTCTGCTGAGGTAGGTCATTACAATGTAGGTTTTTCAGTTTTGACATCAATTTGCAGCCATTTTATCCACACATAAACACATACACACAAATAGAGCTGCAATCTTACCGACGCACCGGGGCTGTGGTTCACTCCACTGCGAGTTGGCCAGACAGGTGAGTCTGGCTCTGCCCTGTAGTCTATAGCCCTGTTCACAGCGAACCAAACACTCCAGCCTATAGGGGGCGGTCCGCTCACTGCAGTTCAGTAACCCATGACGTGGAGGAGAGAGATCTGGGCAAGAGCGAACTATTGGAAAATACCACACACCAGACAGGGGTTAGAGCATTGCATAGAAGGTTTGGTCCTATGTAATTAAAACTTTGCTGTATTGGACAAACTTTAATGATTCCATGGAACAACACTGAGCTAAAATGGACAGCTGGGAGAAACAAAAATGGAAAAGATGGACAGACTAGAGAAGAAGAGAGATTTTAAGAGCAAATCAGAGGGAAAAAAGAAAAAGCTCAAGAGAAGAAGGTGGCTGGTAGCTAAGTCTGTGGTTAGGACTTTGAGACCTGTAATTTATTTCCAAACAAAGAAAAACCAAAATATTGTTATTTCTGGCCTGAGGTCACAAGAGAAGGAACTCTTAACAGGTCAACTTGCAGACATGCATCTGTCTGAGTGTGATTTGTTTTGTGTGTGTGTAGGTGCATATACATATTGTAGTCATCTGTTCAAGTGTGTAAGCACTCAAATAGTTGGCAAAGCATTAAGAGTTTACTTTACAGCTATCTAAACACACATGAACTCAGAGCGCTGCAGGCCGACAGGCAGAGAAATGGCTTTATGAGCCCCTCTGCACACATGCAGACATACTCAAAGGCTGCAGTATTTTAGCATTTCTGGGGGTGATGAAACATATGGGGTGACTAAAGCCCCTTTGAGCTTCCAATTGTGTAACACATAAACTGACAATAAAACCCATATGTTTGCTGCTAAAATTGAATTAGAGGCAAAAAATAACACACAAGAGCAGGGAGGGGGCAAGCTAATGAAAGAGAGTGAAAGAAAAGGAAAAGGGAAAAAAAATCAGTTTGTGTCCCCTTTCCAGGACCAGTGATGTCATAAAATCCAGGTGTGCATCACCTCTGCAGCTCGGCTGAACTCCTGACCAGGTCCCGTCTGGCTGACAGAGTCTGATTCCATCTCCCTGCAGGTCAAAGCCTGTGAGACAGCGCACCCCACATGCAGAGTTAAATTGATTATTACACACATTCTGGATGAAGAAACCATTCTCTGGGGGAGAGAGAACTGGACAGACCACCACTGCAGTAGGGAGAACAAGAGAAAGCATTGTATTTAGTGTTTGAAAAGAGCCCACATACAGACACATATCTCTAAACATAAATGTTAGCAGACGTATGTTTACAGAAATAAAGCAGCGAGATCAGCACCTTGGCATGTGTTGTTGTGTGGTCTGTAGCCTTCCGCACACACACAGTCTGATACATCTGTACTCCCAGGTCTGGATGTGTGATGAGGATCGGGGCAGGGAAGGCAGGTACTCACACCTCCAGAAATTGCTTCAGGTTTATATGTACCAGATGGACAAGCTGAGAAAGAGATAAAAGCGAAAGAAAAAGGTAAAAAAGAGCGCTTGCTAGCATTGATTTCATGAAATGGAAATTCACCTGATACTCCATTTTTTAAATGGGTTATTGATCTTATTGTGAACAAATTATCCATGTGTCAGTTACATTTTTTGGACCTCATAAGGTTTAATCAAAATATCATAACTCAATCTTCCATTTAAACAATAGACTTCTCTCTAGTGACTCATGCCAGATTTCACAAATCATTTAGCCCATTTACACCCTGACACTTTTTTACAAACTTGCATTCAGATCTGCCTCCATCCAATCAACAACTGAACCAAGTCCCTGATCTGATGCTGCTTCCATTACATTGTGAATTTTAATCTCTTTATTTCATCACAACACAGATTTCACACAGCTACAACAACTCTGAGAGTTTCTTTGCCACCTCCAAATTAAAAGATAAAGATGCAAAGATATAAAAAAAATCAAAATGAAATGCAACATTAGATCCACCTTTAACTTTGCTGTTGTCATGCTTATCAGCGTGTATATTTTCTCCACATTTATTTGAAATAACTTTCAGCTTCTTTCAGAACATTCAATCCTTAGTGATTAGTAGTAGTGATTAATACTTTTAAATGTTTGTTTCAGTTGTTCAGTTCATTTCAAACTAAAAAAAGTTTGAAATGTTTAATGATGCAATAAACTGTTTCTCACGACCGTGGTTCCTCTGGAAATTAATTTATGCCACATTAAAATTTACCTTTTTGTGGTACACATGCCACAATTAAATCGGCCCAATGGATTGTCAAACACTAAACACAAACCCTTGTGATGAGATGCTGTGTCAGATAAAATGTTACTGAACTGAAAGATTCCCCAACACTAACTTTCCATTGCTTAAATAACACATACAGTATGTTTTGGAGGTTAAAGGGGTCATATGATGTTGCTAAAAATAACATTATTTGGTGTATTTGGTGTAATGCAATGTGTTTATGCGGTTTAAGGTTCAAAAAACATTATTTTCCACATAATGTACATTATTGTTTCTCCTCTATGGACCACGCCTTTCTGAAATGCGTCGATTTTTACAAAGCTCATCAGTCTGAAAAGCGAGGTGTGCTCTGATTGGCCAGCTATCCAATGCGTTGTGATTGGCCAAATACCTCAAGCGTGTGACGGAAATGTTATACCCTTTATCATACTGTGATTCCATGTCCCGGAGTGACAAGACAAAAACATTAAAGGGGTCATATGATGCGATTTCAAGTTTTCCTTTTTCTTTGGAGTGTTACAAGCTGATTGTGCATAGATAAGATCCCTGAAGTTGCAAAGACTAAAGTCTCAAAACCAAAGATATATTCTTTATCAAAGTTAAGATTCTGCCACGCCCCCCTAAAACAGCTCGTTCTAACACGGCTTGTCGGAAGGAGGGACTTTGTAGAAAACGAAGCGTTTGAGAGAGGCGGGGCATAGAGGACCTACAATAATAAAGTTACGCCTTCTTTCTTTGCGTGAACATTTGGGTGGCGTTATGCAAATCTTCCCACATCGTGACGTAGACATGTGGGGGCGTGTTTAAACGAGGCATTTTAGGTAGGCGTGGTTGACTCTTAACTTTTATAAAGAATATCTCTTTGGGTTTATTCACGAACAGCTTGTAACACTCCAAGGAGAAAGGAAAACGTGAAATCGCATTATATGACCCCTTTAAGACAGGATTCATTAAATTCCTAGAGTAATTCTCAGGGTATTTAGAAAAGTAACTGATGTGTTTTTCACTGGAACAATTTTGGCTGAAATACTTTAAAACCTCCCCACATAAGCTCATGTAAAATATCAAAGACATTTCACTTGTGGAAGGAGGAACAACCCAGACACTCTTAGCTGCTCTGTACAAGCCAGCCAGACATCTTAACTTTGTCAAAATGGAGAAAAAACACTTTGTTCGGACCGCAGTTTAAGATTAAATTACCATAAAAGGACACTTCTTCCTTCATTTTTAAAAGGAGTCACCTACTTTTCCCTCTCTCAGTCTATCTCTCATTCATTTCTTCAATGGTACCTACTGCCAGACTATCTTGTCAATTTAACAACAAAATCCACATTTAACAAATTTCCATTTGCAGGTATTGTTTATATTAATGACGGACTCCCGTCCATCATTAAGCTGACAGCTCAAGTGGCTAGTCAGACAACCACCGTTTTGTTTCACTAGTTACATAACATGCAATACACAAGAGTAAAAAAGGTTTCATCTGAGCCTTCCTCCCAGTACCCTTGGCATCATTTCTAATATTTTATTTGGTCATTTTTCATGCAAATAACACCCAGCTGCTTCTGAAACAGTTGCAATACTGTGCTATTCTAAGTTTCGATGGGGGGAGTCAGTTTCTATAAATTGGTGCTAATGGGTGGCCATCCGCTCTGAAACACTATAGGCCAAAAAGACAGGCAGTTGGGCACAGGGCAAAAAGGCTGAAAGAAAGAAAAGCTAACAACACCAAGACACAAACAGACAAGCAGATGGTGGAATTTATGTAAGAAGAACTGAAATAAACAAAGAGAGATTGACAGTGAATCTGAGACAGGAAGAGAGAAGTAAACAGACAGATGGCGAAAAAGAATGTAAGACAGGAATACAACCAAAACCAGTGAAAAAAAAGTGCATCTGTGCTCAAGAGAGAGAAACAGACATACAGATGGACGGATGGAATAAATTAGATAGAGAGAAATCAGAGAGCTGGAAAGATGGTGGGTTTCTGTTCTCAAAAATGTGCTGGGAAAATTTTAAGCAACTGGTTATTAAATTTCCACACCTTTAGACACATGCTATGATGTTTTAATGTGTCTATTGAAAACATTTTGTCGCTCATCCAAATGGCTTTTAGGAGCTGTCTGATGGCTGAAATTCCCCAGCATCCAACAGCTGATGAAGTCATTGAGATGAGTGGTGAAACATCTTCATTGGAAAGTCGAATTGCTTGTGAATACAGTCTACCAGACATTTTGCACTGACCTGGTTTAATGAAAGTGTTCACAGATATTATGCTTAAATAGCTAGCTAACCTATGCTGTATTTTGTCACATTCAACACACTCTAGTGTCTATAATATATTACATTAAATTACACCAATCAAACTAAACTGAAAACCACCTCATTACACTGTGGAAAGCTTCTGGTTAAAGTATCTTTATCTATGAAGCAACACTTTTCAAAATTGTTAAAATTTAGGCTAACGTCTGAACTGTTATCACAACTACGAAAAGCCAATGCAACTATAACATTTTCTGACATGCAGTCCTGCTTTTAGAATACAGTGAGTGTTTTAAAGTGTCTTTTACAAGGCCAACATAGCATGTTGAAGTGCCACTGAAAGCAGACAGGATTGAAATTGTTTAGTATAATTCTAGTGGGGCCTGTAATGTGGTTGAACTAAGCCAGTGTCTGCATTGACTTTGATTCTCAGACATCCTTGGACATGTAAATTATGATAAATGTCAGTCGTATGAGCTAGATTCATTTGACTGTAGTTTTATTGTGCAAAATGCTAATGGTTTATGCTACATAAAGCATTTCCATTGTCAGGAAATACATATTTCTACAGTTGGGTTTGACTTTTACAACTTCACCAGAAATTTAAAATAAGCCAAACTTCCATGGTCACTCAACCATCTGACAAAGACATGCTAGCACTGTAAACCTCCTCATTCCCCTCCCTAGTTCACTCTCTTCTTACTCGTATTCTTTCTTTGAACTGTAAGTTTTTATCTGTTGGGTTGAAGCCATTTTCTTCCTCTTTCTCTCTTTCTTTATTGTGGGTTTCCAGGAGGATGAGAGCTTTAACTCATTGACTCAAAGTTATGAGAGATGCAGCAGGCAAACAGCAATCCAAATTAACACCAATACTGCACTTAGTTGCTGAACTTATGAAGTTCTCATTTTAAAAACTGTACAAATAGCTAAAGGTTGCCGTTTCTACCACGATTATCAAAGACTAGCTTATCCTGACAGAACCTGATATACAACAGAGCTAAACATTCACCATTAAACAAATGCTAATGTTCTTATGTTAGATGTTGACTTTGGAATATTTTAAAAGGAACTTTAAAAAAGACATTAGAGAATGTTATACCATTTACACATATCCTTTAGATTACATGAATACATTTGGCTTTTATCTAAAATGACTTACAGCGTGGGACTTTCCGTAAGAGTGGGAAAAAGTGGCCATTTATAAATTTTATGGGACTGGCTTCCGGCGTCATTCGCTTCCAGCTAAATTT